CGATTGTTGAGAGGGCTGTTGCTAGCTGTGGTCACAAGGTGGCCGGTGCCAGTCGTGGTGGCAACCCCCGTACCCGCTGGTGGACACCAGAGGTTCTGGGAGCCGTCAGGCTGAAGAAGGAGGCCTACAGGGAGTGGCTGGTCTGTGGGTCTCCGGAGGCAGCAGACAGGTACCGGATAGCCAAGCGGGGTGCAGCAGTGGCAGTTGCCGAGGCAAAATCTCGGGCGTGGGAGGAGTTTGGTGAGGCCATGGAGAAAGATCATCGATCGGATCCAAAGGGGTTCTGGGAAACTGTCCGGCGCCTCAGGAGAGGAAGGCAGCAACTCGCTCACACTGTTTACAGTGGGGATGGGGAGCTGCTGATGTCAACTGGGGCTATAGTTGGACGGTGGAAGGAATACTTTGAGGAGCTCCTCAATCCCACCTATGCGCATTCTGAGGAGGAACCAGAGCCGGGAGACCTGTCCAATCTCGGGGGGCAGAAGTTGCTGAGGTAATCAAACAACTACACAGCGGCGGGGTCTTGTTCACGAGTGAGGGTAGGAGGGATCGGGAGATCGACAAGCGGATTGGTTCAGCATCTGCAGTGATGCGGACGCTGGGCCGATCTGTTGTGGTGAAGATGGAGCTGAGCCAGAAAGCCAGGCTCTCGATTTACCGGTCGATCTATGTCCCAATCCTCACCTATGGTCATGAGCTTTGGGTAATGACCGAAAGAACGAGATCGCGGATACAAGCGTCCGAAATGAGTTTCCTCCGTAGTGTGGCCGGGCTCAGCCTCAGAGATAGGGTGAGGAGCTCGGACATTCGGGAGGGACTCGGAGAAGAACCGCTGCTCTTCCGGATCGAAAGGAGCCAGTTGAAGTGGTTTGGGCATCTGGTCAAGATGCCTCCTGGACGCCTCCCCGGGGAGGTGTTTCGGGCATGTCCTGCCGGGAGGAGGCCCCCGGGTCGACCCAGGACACGTTGGAGAGGTTACATCTCCAATCTGGTCCGGGAACGCCTTGGGGTCCTGCCGGAGGAGCTGGTGGAGAAGGCCGGAGAGAGGACGGTCTGGAGCTCCCTAGTTGGGATGCTGCCCCCGCGACCCAGACCCGGATAAGCGGAGGAAGACGACGACGACTTTTTGATACCACTTATTTTCGGACTGGGGGGAAACGTTATTTTAGGTTTTGTGTGAAAATAAGTCCTGGACTACAAATGCGCTTCACAAAGTGATGTCATCGAACCAGACACGGATAAAAACAGAGGGAAAATGGCTCTTAGTTCGGCTAACTTCAAGTTCTTCCCGCAGGAGGAAGGAACCACCATAAATCTGGACAAGTGGTAAGTAGCAGCTATGCTAGGGGAGAGGAGATTCCGTATGCAACGTGCCGATTTCTGGTGTGTAGTCTTGCTAATTACGAACTTTTACAAGCTGATAAATCTCAAAGTACGTGACTGGCATGGTCAAAACACCCATCATTACTTTTCATTCAAACTGCAGTACAACATATGTGCGATCCAGGGCGTAAGGCAAAGCAGATTAGAAAATTGCATTTTTAGCCCCGTTGACTTCCCTTCATTTATTCGTTCTTCCGGGGACCGATGAGCCAACCGGAAAGGAAGGGGACTTAGGCTCCCTATTCACCCAAATAGGTCAATCCCATTCAAAATAATCTTTACAGCTATTTAATTTTGATAAACACCAAAATGGCCATATCTCAGTTACAGATACCAAGATAAGATTTTATGTGGTAGCAGCTGAGATAGCATGAGATTGTGCATTTATGTTTTTATTACACTAAAAGCAATTATAACTCCATTATTTTTCAACATAAAATGATCCAAGTTTAAACCCCTGGAAAACAAGGTGGCAGATGATATGCATTCCTTTAAAAACTCGTTTTTCTTTTATTTCTCCCAGACCTGTGAGTTGTGCATCATCCGTTTCATCTGCCATCACTATTTACAGCACAGTTTGTGTTTAATGGTGTAAAGCAGGGAAAATATGGCTTTTAGATCGTCTTGTTTATGCTGTCATTCCACACACATGAACACCCACTGGGCTCCTTGGAAAATCACACACTGAAAATTTTCTTCAAGGTTTTATTGTGTGCAATGGCTCATATTCATCCCAGTAGCGAATCACACAGCTGGAACATCTCAGACCCAAACAGTGCAATGCTGTGACAATGTCAAACACACCAACGCGCGCACACAGACATCCTTTTTTCTGCAAATCATTGGATCATCATAACCAGAGAGAAAGAATCCCAACTGTGCACTCACATCGGCCCTTATTTTCATTTGTGCTTCCACAGAGGAATGAAGTGTTAGCACAACCAAAACCAACATTTTATCATTATTCGTGTCTCTCAGGACACAGAAATGTATATGAACTGACATCAGTGTTGTAATAGGAGTAAGAAACCTCACGTATGTTTAGGTGAATTGAAAAAACAGAAGAAATACTTTGCACATTGTGTTAAAATGCACATTGAATGCACAAATAGCAAAAGAATCAGTCTTTGATAACTCTTTTGTCTAAAAACTTCTGAATCAGCTAAAAATCAACTGTACAAAAAGAAAATAATTAAGCAGAATCACACAGCAATGTAAATAAAACACTGTTGAGAAGGAAAACATGATCAATAAGGTAAAAACACCAATAAGCATGTTTTTCCAAAGGGTGTAACTCTGATGAACACTTTTCGTCAGGCAAACATATGTTTTTATTATTATTATTTTGGTCAGAAGTGTGACTTTCACAGAACAAAAGTAAAATAAACTCCCGTACTAATTCTGTATCATCTTTGCAGCTCCATTAAAACATATTTGACTGGAAACGGAAAAAAAAACTTCACAAAGCTTTTGATTTGTGCAGACAAGGCTTCAAAACAATATGAATTCAACAGTAAAATGATGATGCATTGACTGTTTTATCTTGTGTTTTTGTGATCTGATGCCTTTTTTTTCATAGAAAATTGAAATTGTTTCGATTGACTGGAACCCGTCATTAAATGTGGCTGATTATCAATGAAACACTCTTTTTGCAATGTCCTGCTGGGAAAACCTGCATGTATGCACTAGCACGGGTGTTCCTTTGACAGTCTCAACCGACCTTGACAATCTTGAGGACCACTGACCTTGTTACACAGAAACAGCAAACCTCTACAACAGTAGTAGCCTCTGAGAAAAACCCAGACCCTGTAAAACCCTCAGATTGCAAACCAAGTGCACAAATTAGATGACATCAGGGAGGGTGAAAATAATCCCAAGCACCGGTGACAAAAAAGTAAACTTAAACACTGACAATAAGTTGTTCTGTATCATTTTCCTGCTATTTAGCCTAAGTGTGCTTAAGCGTGTTGATAAACTAATAATCTGCTGCAGGGTTTGTGGTTTTATCAGTTACAGTTAGCAGTTCTAAAGCAGCAAAACAGTCCCACACCATCACACTACCACCACCGTTTTTGATTCTCGGTTTGATGTACTTTTTCTGAAAAGCTGTACTACTTTTATACTGCATAGAAAAAGACATGCACATTTCAAATTGTTTCACCGTATTCCTCATCTATCCACATAATATTTTCAGTACAGTCTAAATGATCATCAAAATGCTTTCTGACACGTGTGAGACAGATTTTGTTGTTCTTTTTGGTCAGCAGAAGTTTTCATTTTGAAACTTTCCCACAATGTCATTTTGCATTTTCTCTTTCTGACCTTAACCATGTGAAGTCTGTGAAAGAAGCTTTTTTGAGATATATCATAGTCAGAGAGGTTCTACTGAAGCAATTTCTTAATTCTACAAGTCTTGCGGTTATCAGGTCTAGGTGTGGCATGGGAAACCGAACTCAGCTTTAATCAGTTCATGATTTAGCAAGAGGGGCAACGACTGTTCCACACACGACCAGGTTGGTCTGATATATCAAACATGAATTGTAAAATTGTTTGTTGCAAAAGAACTCACTTTAATACAACAGGAACTCCAGCACCTGCCTATTTCAGGAGGTCCTTGATCAGATGATAAACTATCAAAACTAACTAAAAAGGCTCAGTTTTATAGATGGCATTAAATAACTCAGTATTTTTTTATTTTTTTATTTCAAAAATAAAAGTTATACCAGGTTTTTTCAGCATCTTGTTTCAAAGGTGCATGAAGTGAGAATGGCATCCTGTGGTCAAATTTGAGTACTTCCGTCTATGTATCAAAACCAAAGAGTCTGCCCTCAGCCACTCCCCTCTCCCCTTCTTCAGTTTATGGCTGTTGCCAGTCACAGATCAGCACCTGAAGATTCTAGATGTCGAACGAAGACGAGTCATACACAGACGTCCCATATTCCAGTCAGAACTGGCAAAGCTCCTCGGATGAGAAGTGAAACGTCATCAAGAAGCCAAAGAAGTCCAATTGCCTTCATTTGAACCATTTTGGGTCATACACAGTAAGTTGATAAGTAGATAAATACATTTAACTGTAATGTCAAATAGTTGGTAATTTTAAAAAGTAGCTTGAGATATTTTTATAGCTGATTATTTTTTCTAAGTTACCATTAGCTCAACGTTAGCCTCTAGCCTTCTTTAGCTGATATTAGACTAAAACAAAAAGGATACCGTGGCTTTGGAAGCCTAGTTTGTACTTCTCCATCAGCACGTTTACACCCACACGTGTTGATGGAGACGTTATCCTTTTATGCTTCTCTGCTGGTGTTAGTGTTGTCAAGCAATTCTCCACCAGGACAGCAGAGGGCGTACCACTTTTCTGGGGTATCCTGCCACCATTGCAGTAACATATCTAGTGTGTTTAGGTTGTGTTTGTGTATTTGAGTGTGTTTAACATGGAAAATGCCCCTCAATCTACTCCACGTCCAAACCCACATTTCTTGTATATTTTTTGACACAAGGAAAAGGTTTGCTGCGTATATTTGTACCCCTTCAGCCACGGTTGTATTAACGCTTATATTCTTGAACTTTTTCCACGATATTTTCTTTAATCTGATCCGTGTTTGTTGCTAGATATCTTTGGCTTCCTTTTTTTTTTTCATTTTAATTTTGAGCTCAGTGGCCTAGTGGTAGAGTGTCTTCCCTGAGACTGGGAGATCAGGGTTCGATTCCTGGTCGGTTCATACCAAAGACTTTGAAAAAATGGGACCCAATGCCTCCATGCTTGACACTCAGATTTAAGGGGTTGGATTGGGGGATTAAACCACCAAATGGTTCCCGAGCGCGCCCGTGTCTGCAGGATGGGTCAAATGCGGAAAACACATTTTGAACACACATCAGTGTGTGTGACAACCAATGGGACTTTAACTTTTAACTTTGACTTTAATGGCGGTGCTGTTGACCAAGTTAAAGGAAGCGGAACCATGCCCAATCACAGGTTTGCAGTCTCCATCACTTTTGGCGGATAATTAGACAACTGGGCTCGTCCTTGCGAGCCTGTTGGATCGTCTTTGTGACCACAGATAATGGCATTGGGTGTCTCTGCACTGATGCAGATGGAGAAGTATAAACTAGGCTTTTAAGGTTCCTTTTACTGACTTCCATTACTTCCACAATGCTGCCCTTTGTTGGCCGATGTGGAATTACAAATGGCAACCTTGCACGCTCAAAACTGATTGGCTCTGGAAGTACGGAGGCAGGACAGATTGTAAACAGTAACTATGTCCCTCTTTAGCCTTTTTAAAAGGAGAAAAACAGACAACCCCTCAGCAGGCTGAGAAGGAAATATGTTTCAATGCAACCTTAATTCCAACATGATCAAACAGACTGTTTTGTGATTATTCCACTAAAAAAAGTCTTATTGTACCTTTAACTGAGTACTTAAAGAGCAAATCACCCCCAAATCAACTTTTTTTGCTGATAAATCTTCTCAGCCTGCTGAGGGGTCATTAGTCTTTTGGGGCAGCAGTAGTTCAGGAGGTAGAGCGGGTTGTCTCATGATTGGAGGGTCATGGATTTGATTCCAGCTCCCGCCAACGGTATTCTGCTGTTGTGTGCTTGAGCAAGACACTTCACTCGACTTGCCTGTGTTGGTGGTGGTCAGAGGGGAACAATGGCGCAAAATGGCAGCCTCGCCTCTGTCAGAGTGCCCCAGGGCGGCTGTGGCTACATAATAGATTACCATCACTGGCAGTGTGTGAATGTGAGAGTGCATGAATAATGGAAAGCAATTTGGGTGTCTTGAAAAGCATTGCATAAATCCAAACCATTATTATTATTATTATTATTATTATTAATAATATTAATAACTATATAAATGAGTCTCTAATCGTGCTGTAGACATGTGTAGTCAATAATTTGGCACTTTGGTGCATTTTAGTTAAAATTTAAATATTCTGATTAAAACTGCCAGTGTGGCGTCACATTCAGGTAAAAACTAAGCAATGCATTTGAATTTAAATCTGCCATCGCTTTTGGCTAAGAGGTCCACTATGACATTAGCTGGTGCATAACGATGTCACAATGTCATTGTTAGCCTGTGTGTGTATTTGTTAGTGGCTCCACCCTCTCGGTCTTCCAGGCAACAGGGTAGCTGTGGCTGCATTAGCTCATCACCATCAGTGTGTGAATGTGTGTGTGAATGGTTGAATGACACAATGTAGTGTAAAGTGCTTTGGAGTCCTCTGACTCTGAAATGTGCTATAAAAATGCGGGTCTTTTATCATTTTTCGAACAGGAAGTGGAAGTGGAGTAAGCCTCTGGTAGGGAGTGACTTGCTCTTTCACAGTTGCTTTTACTGCAAAAAGACCAAATGAAAACTCTTGATTTTCTCTCAAATCATTTTCCTCTCAACACCTGCTAATTGTTTAATTAGAAATTTCACCCTAAACTACTTTCCTATCACAGTGCACGTAAACAATGAACTGGTTCAACATCTTTGTGGAGTCACTCACACATAGCCTTTTGTTTATCATCTTCCCTGCCCTGTTGCATTATTCATAGGTATCAAACAGCATCCCGCCATCGAAGACAGATGGTCGGACATATGTTTTCTCTATGTGATCATACACGTCCGTGTACATACACACACTTCGCACACATAACCTACAGCTTCCTTAGCTCCCTAATAAGTCCAGAAAGAAAACATATGTACCACATTGTGTGGACTGGCGTAGCAGCGTGGTGGATCACAGATGGGGCCTTGGAGTGTGTGCGGTGGCTCTACTGTAGCACCACTCACTGACCTGGCATCAGTTAAGTCCCACCAAAATAAATGCCAGGCAATGACATGGGCGCTCCACAGGTGACACAGTTACTTCTGATCTCTGTAGCTCCCAGCGAGCATGCTCCCTGCATGTTTCTTTAGAGTCCAGAGGGGGCCAGGAGCCAGGAAGTGACATATAGCAGCAGAGATGTTGTGGGGAGGTGGTGAGATGCTGATAAAGAAGAAAAAATACAGCAGAGATCCATAGAGAAGAGGGGGGAGCATCTTTTTCCTTTTTTGAGAGGAGAAGAAAAGTTTACAGGTAGAGTTTCTGTACATCTCTGCTCAGAAGTGATAGCTACAGCAGTCCCGTCTGCAATTGGGTGGAGATGAGTGATAGGATAGAAAAAGAAAGCATGTGGAAAGCATGGCGTTCACCAGAGGACCGTGTACCACCAAAGTAAGCCACCTGAGCTGCAGAGTAAAACAGACAGACAGGTTAACCAGAGAGCTAAAACATGAGCTGTTTACATGAGGAAGTTGTGCACGATGATGGAGAAAGAGAGAAACTTTAGTCTTCATTCAAAACTGGGGAAACGGTTGCATCTTAAAGGTGAGGTTCAGTGAGAAACATATAATACTTATTCATTTTAATTACAGTCGGCCATGTTGAGTTTCATATGCATGCCGAACATGAAAAGCAGTAGAATGTAAAACACTCAGGTATAAAAAAGCCACACATCTATGCAGGGATGAGTACTGAATTTGGTACTTTTTAAGGCATCGACCGAATTCCATAGTACCGGCTGAGTACCGATTGTTTCGGGACCCGTTCTTCAAAACAAGAACATGCGAGACAGCGATTAGCCAAGATAGACAGCAGCGCCGGCGGCGCAAGAGCGTAATGTCGTCAGTCACTGTGGGCGAGCTGTAAACAGAAGCAGCATGGCAGAGAGGAAGCGTTCTGAAGTTTGGGTCCACTTCACTAGATGGGATGGTAACTGGGTGATGATGAAACCAGCAACAAAGATCTAAGTTGGGCATCATTGTCTTAATCTGCTCCGGTAGGTAAGGAAAATGTTTAAGATAACGTTAGCTTGATATGTTGGCTTCCGCTCAGCTAATGGTGCGTTCGCTTTCTCCTCAGAACTCCAAAATTCCGACTAGAAGACGGCGAACACGCTCTAAAGTTTGGCTTCACTTTACCAAATGCAATGGGCTATTGGGTGATGTTCAAATATTAGGAAATAAGACTCAAAATCCTTCCGTGTTTAGCTCTCCTCTGATGTGGCATTCTGCTAGTTTCTGAAACAAGCGCATCTGAGCGTTTCTTCCCCTCCAAGTACGACTTACAAGACATTCATTCCTACTAGAGACCACTGCAAACATATTGATTAAACGACTGAACCACAAGTGTAGGCCCACTTAATGAATCATTTCCTCCAACAGCACCATCCTTTGATCTCCTAATCTTGGTAAGTCAGCTAAATCTCTATCAGGACCACTCACCCACACAGGCTGAGCCGTCATCATTTGGCTCAAAGCCCTGGTTGCATCTCCTTTTGGCACGACACTTATAGCTGCCATAGGTGTTGGTGCACACAGGACGATCAGAGGGGCACACAGAGGGGAACTGGGTACATTCATCTTTATCTGAGGGAGGGATGGGAGGGTGAGGAAGGCAAAGGCTTAGAGGACAGATAAAAAGACAGGTGCAGGGTTCAGGTGACGGAAACGTCTCTCCTCACCTGTGCAACGGCCATTCTCGTTCAAAGCAAACCCATGACCACACTGGAAGACACAAATCATTGGTTTTATTCAAGAGCTGATAACTAATAATAAACCACCTAGTTCTGATCTTGCACCACTTCTGCAAAACTTCATGGCAACTATTCAACAGGTCGACATTCATGCTAGAATTGTCTCTATGAGTAAACCCTGACACCACGTGGCTTTTCTCAGAGGTAGAACAGTATTGGCTCAAACAAAACCAAGTTTTCATTTGGCATTTGCAGTTATTTTTTACCTCTATTTCAACAGTAGGAGTGACTTCCTCCTCGTCTCTTGGATAGTGGATCTCCAGCACCGAGTTGATCTCTGACGGCTCCAGGGGACGGGCTATAGAGCGTCCATCTGGCCAGTAGACCTCAACGTTTGTGGCCACATCCTTTCCTGCCAGGTATCAAATCTGAATAAATTACACCGACTTTTATATCACATATTTGTTGTACCCCCATCTTTACAAATCGTACGGACTACTTTCATCACCCACAGAAAAGACTTATCATAATGGGACACTTTCTGGTCCTCGGCATCTTCTAAAACAGATTTTCACTGACTCAGCCAGACAGACTGATCTGGATTAGATTCCACATCAGTCCTGATGATCATTTATGACATTTCTTGTTTAAAGCATAAACCTTCACCTCTGGCTTATTTTGACTTTGGTTCATAGCCTTTAAACCCCTAGTATTTAGGGCTGAAACGATTCCTCGAGTACCTCGAATAATTCGAGTACAAAAAATCCTCGAGTCAAATTCTCTGCCTCGAGGATTCGTTTAATTCATGTTTAATTAATTCATGGCTTTGCAATCGCCCGGGGTCATGTTTCACCCGGACCGAAATAAGTGACGCACATGCCCACTGGACCGAATGCACACGCGAGTAGCGAATATAACTTAACTTTCTCTTAAGCCATGGCGGACAACGTGGACCCCGGTGGAGTGCGAAAAAGACAGAAAATGTCAAAGGTGTGGGACCGTTTTTCACGTCGTAAGGTGGAAAACGTAGTCCAGTGTAAATACTGTAAAATGGATTTAGCCTACCACAACACCACATCCTCCAAGCTGCAGCACATGTAAATGTCACTTCTGCAAGCGGACTCAGAGCCTCTACAAGATAATGCATTTTAGCCTGTATTTCTATATATTCTGCGGACACTGTGCAACTTTTTCTTTTGTAGCACTCAGTTTCAGCTCACACCTTACATCTGGTAGCAACACGTCAGGCTTAAAATGTGCTAAAAATAGCAGTTTTTACAACACGTCAGACTTTTTACTGTGTTGTTATTGATGTCTGTTGTCCCTAAGGATTGCTGCAGGAGGACGCAGGTATTTATGAGTGGCGGAGGAAAGCGAAAGAAAGTAAATAAATGTTTTGTGATCAGTATAATTTGACTAAACCACAGCAAACATGCTTTCTCGACAATCCTTGTTATTGTGTGAGAAAAAGTGTAGAAATTAAAACGAACGTGTGTTAATAGGGAAACAGCCGGCGAGCTGTTTGCGCCGTGAGCGGTTCTGGTTCTGCTTGGGCCGCAGCCGCTCGCAGCGCTACTTCAGCAGTTATCCTCCTAGTTTTTGTCTGGCTTGCAGGCTAGCAGATTCTCGCATGAGGGGAAAATCGGCTCAGGTTGTGTACTTATTTTTTGCACAGGCATTTGTTTACTGTGAAGTACAGTTGAAGTGCTGAAGTTTTGCAAACTAATTTTGAATAAAACTTGAAGAATAACTGGCAATTGCTTTCTCATTTTAAGAGATCTTTCATAATTATAACATGCTATTTGATATAATGGTTTACAAACACAAAAGGGTAATTTATTAGAGTACTCGATTAATCGAAAAAAAGATTTGATAGAGTACTCGATTACAAAAATATTCGATAGCTGCAGCCCTACTAGTATTATTATTGGTGTTTATATGAATATTATGAGGACAACATCCGTGTACTGTATGCTGGTCTGTCAGATTATATGGATGTCAGAGATGTGTGCATCTGCAAAAGGCTTCTTCCATTGTTGAGGCTGTCCATTTAATCTGTGCCTACTGCGTTGTAAACCTAAATGACACTAATGATGCAGTCATTTAGAAATGGTGAGACCCTCCCATCCCCCACCCCCCACCAAACACACACACACACACACACACACACACACACACACACACACACACACACACACACACACACACACACACTTTTATGTCTCTGCTTGTGGTGTGATTCGCTTGACCCAGACATATGGCGTTTAAAGCGTGCCACAACCCGTGCACGCGCATTGGGTCCACAGCGTGCGTGTGAACGGGACTCGCGAGCGCAAATATACATGGCAGCGCGCGTGTGAACGGGACTCGCGAGCGGAAATATACATGGCGAGAGGTCATTTGTGCACTGAGAGGGAGCAAACTGTGTCTGTGAGCGCACAAGGATGTGCACAAGTGACAAACCTGCGTGCGCGCGTTGTCAACGAGCACACGGCAGAGGAAAACGTGCGCGCGCGGCAGCCTCTGTGCGCGCTCGGCAGCCTCTCTGCGCGCTCGGTTTCTGACTCCTGCTCGCTCGGCTGTAAGGGCTTTTGGCACTCTGGAGGCGTGGCCTGTGGCAGATCTTCTCTGCCCTCTGATTGGTTAGTTTACCCCGCACTTTACCCTCTATCTATATAAAAAAGTCTGAGTTTCAGTAGTTGCTGGCATAGCTCAGTTGGTAGAGTGGGTGACTCTCGCCCTGGAGGATCCAGGTTCGAGGCCGGGCAGGGACAATGCAGTAGATGTCATGTTAATTTTTCTTAATTTCAGGTATTTTACAGTTGTGACCGTTCAACTGTCATTAAACGTCCGAATGTTTGCTGGGCAGTGTTTTAAAAAGTGCACATAAGCTAGATGGTTTTAACCATATAAAATTACATTTTTTGTGATACTGGAAAAATACATACTGAAATAAAACTACTGATTGAAAACTTTATGACTGTGGTTGTACAATATATGACTCACTAATACACTGCAAACTCCCTTAGAGTGGGGCTTCGAGAGAGAGAGAGAGAGAGAGAGAGAGAGAGAGAGAGAGAGAGAGAGAGAGAGAGAGAGAGAGAGAGAGAGAGAGAGAGAGAGAGAGAGAGAGAGAGAGAGAGAGAGAGAGAGAGAGAGAGAGAGAGAGAGAGAGAGAGAGAGAGAGAGAGAGAAAAGTTCTTGCCTCATTAATGAATTGTTTATTTTTTTCAGTATTTAATTGACAAATTATCCTTTCAAATAATTAATTGATGAGTTACATAATTGTCCATTTAGAATTGTTGAATGGACTGAGTAAAGTTTGGTGCACTTTATATATTTCAAAACATGTTTTTTTTTATGATGCATATAAATAATTTAAATGTTAATTTAATGAAATATTTCTATTTTTTCATTACCTCACCCTTGTTTTGACAAAAACGGAACCTTGCTGGATAATATCATGGAGAAACTATTTGTTCACACAGTACATGGCTCAGTGAGGATCTGTGTAAAGGAGGAGATACTCAGAAATCTGTCTGCAGATTGTTACAACCCAGACTGGAAGTGGTGGGCTGTAATAAGAAAGGAGACCAAACAGAGGAGTGGGGGTTCAACAACTGATTTATTTAACAAAAGTAAGGATTTACTAAAGCAAGTTAGTGAACAGAAAATGGCCAGTGAGGACTCTCCACCACACAGGAGAGACCCAGTGAAAGCAGAAAAACAGTAGGCTTTGTAGGCAGCACCACACCCTGAGCCCAGGTGCCTCCAAGGCTGCTTAACGAGCTGCCTACAACAGAAGAAAAACACAATTAAACACAAATGAAAACCCAATGAGACGGTGGGGGCATCACAACACGTTCAGGACTACCCAAACACCAGTAATTCTTGACTGCACTGATCTGCTTTAGTAAATCCTTACTTTGGTTAAATAAATCAGTTGTTGAACCCCCACTCCTCTGTTTGGTCTCCTTTCTTATTACAGCCCACCAATTCCAGTCTGGGTTGTAACAATCTGCAGACAGATTTCTGAGTATCTCCTCCTTTGGTATACAGATCCTCACTGAGCCAAGTACTGTGAACAAATAGTTTCTCCGTGATATTATCCAGCAAGGTCTTGTTTTTGTCAAAACAAGGGTGAGGTAATGAAAAAATAGAAATATTTCAATAAATTAACATTAAAATTATTTATATGCATAATAAAAAAAAACATGTTTTGAAATATATAAAGTGCACCAAACTTGACTCAGCCCATTCAACAATTCTAATGGACAATTATGTAACTCATCAATTAATTATTTGAAAGGATAATTTGTCAATTAAATGCTGAGAAAAATAAACAATACATTAATGAGGCAAGAACTTTTTAAACTTGAACATACCTACACCCACAAGTCTATTTTTACCTGGTTAAAACCATCTAGCTTATGTGCACTTTTTAAAACACTGCCCAGCAAACATTCGGACATTTAATGACAGTTGAACGGTCACAACTGTAAAATAATATCACAGGAATTAGGAAAGAATAATATGACATCAACTCTGTTACTTGGCCGGACTCATACCTGGATCCTCCAGAGTGAGAGTCACCTGCTCTCCCAGCTGAGCTATGCCAGCAACTGCTGTATCTCAGATTTTTTTATATAGATAGCTAGAGAGTAAAGTGCGGGGTGAACTAACCAATCAGAGGATAGGGAAGATCTGCCACAGGCCACGCCTCCAGAGTGCCAAAACTCCTCACAGCCGAGCGAGCGGAATTAGAAACCGAGCGCGCAGAGGCTGCCGAGCGCGCAGAGAGGCTGCCGCACGCGCACGTTTTCCTCTGCCGTGTGCTCGTTGGCAACGCGCGCACGCAGGTTTGTCACTTGTGCACATCCTTGTGCGCTCACAGACACAGTTTGCTCCCTCTCAGTGCACAAATGACCTCTCGCCATGTATATTTTCGCTCGCGAGTCCCGTTCACACGCGCGCTGCCATGTATATTTTCGCTCGCGAGTCCCGTTCACACGCGCGCTGTGGACCCAATGCGAGTGCACGGGTTGTGACACGGGTCTGACGCGATACAGACATGTAGTCTGGTACCTGTTAGTGGTCTGGCCTATTTCATCTCATGTGCAGGAGGCACGTTTAACAGAATAAAATAGAATTTCAGTTTATGCAACAAAAACACAGATTATAGCAGCAGAACACAAATATTTATATTTTAGAGTAAAGCATCAGGGCACACATCATTTCATTTTCTGTTCCTCACTTCTGATTACCTTCAATGGTGTCTGTTTGTTGCAACGACCAGGTACAAAAACTAACTTGTTTGTATTTGACTATTTTTCTGTCCTGTCTCTGTGTATTATCTTCCGGCATCTCCTCTCAATCCTAAAGCAAAACTGCTACCTGCCTTCATATTTTTTCACCTCATGAGTTACCTTTGAACTGCAGTTCAAAAAGATCTACCGACCGCAAAAACAGCGGAGTGCACGCTGACCGCACCGGTGAGGTGAATTCACCGGAGAATGAAACAGGCGATGCGCTCTCCAACACAGCAGTAAAACGCATCAGGCACAAATAAAAGATGGAAAGCATGAACAGAAATGAGCAGACATAAACGATCGCGTGTTAAATTTGTTTTTGAGGTGGCGACACTTGGAGAATGTTACTGTGGCCGTGCTCAGGACGCATCTGTCTGGAGCGCGTCAACGATCAGAGCTCTGCGCCTCTCAGCTCAAAATAATCCCTGGAGAGTCCACATTAATGATGTAATATCAGTAGAACCAGGATCATTTGGGGCCCCCCCTGGGTGTGTTGAGGGCTTCCAGGAGCTCCATAGCTCACCCGTTATTTGAATCCTGCGTGTAGCACAAGTTTGTCGCGTGAGTTGCCGAATCCTAGCAGACAGTTGCCGGTGTTCCACCAAATTCTGCGACCCATCACAATTTGTGACCCCAGGTGGCAGTGTTGCGTTTTGTTGCATCTGTACATCCTGAATTGGCATAAAAGAAGAAGATGCTATGTTAAAACCGTAAACTACGTAGGCATTGAGGAAGTTGTGCGGCGCAGACCATGGTCACACAATATGATAGTGTCTATCACAGAATGTGACCATCTGCATCTCAGTAATAATGCAGATGTCTTTAATTTTCACTAGAGATAATAACAACAAAAGGCGTTTCATGGTGTTTGTGTCAGTTTATTTCCCTTTTATCTCCACCAGTACATATGAGTGGCATTGGAGCGACAGGAGAAAAAAACGTAGCAACCAGATAATCTGCAGTGGTTTCTAATAAACTGAGGATGTAGATCACAACATTTATTTCAATAAATGAAAGTTCTGAACATTTTACCTGCGGACCTCGCATGGTGTAAAATCAATGTTTAAGATAGTCTGGCAAGGTTGAAGAAACGAGGGCCCGGGCGGGATTCGATCCCCAGACTCCCGGGTGAGAGTCATGCGTGCTTACCAGTCAGCCAAAGGGACATCCCCTTGGCCAAGTAGCCAGGGCGCATGATCAGTCGGGACACTGTGACAGGACGCTCACACTGCCTCTTTAGCAAACATTTCTTGTCAAAGCCCTGGTTATCGCTGCATTTATAGTCCCGTTTGTTTGCAATAAACATTAAAATACTCTTTATAATATCCATGGTCCGCGCCACACAACTTCCTTAAAGCTTACGTAATTTACGGTTTTAACGTAGCATCTTCTTCTTTTATGCCAATTCAGGATGTACAGACACAACAAAACGCAACACTGCCCCCTGGGGTCACAAATTCTGATGGGTCGCAGAATTTGGTGTTACACCGGAACGGTCTTTTCAAAATAAGATAGTTCCCGGATCTTGTTCCGGCAAGATCCGGCTCAGATTAAGCCCTGGGCGTACCTGAAGCTACAATGATGTGCAAAGTTTGCTGTTAGCACCTCATATAAAACTTGTAGAAGCTGATGCGCCCATGATGTAGCGACTGTGATTCCAGGACTGGACGACCACCAGCTAGCTGTCCCAGAGAAAAGTTATAAGGAGGTCTCACTGCTAACCTCTCAAATATTTTAAATAGTGTAAAGGAAACACACAGTCTGTGTTTCAGAATGCAACAAATCTGCAATTTGCACAAAAAACACTCCAGAGGAACAGATGTGATCAACTAAGTTTCTCTAGAGCCTAAAGGCATCAGTCTTACCAAGGCCAAAGTGGGCAACAGGCTCCATCTCACACAGATAACCAGAGCCACCATCAATAATCCGTGTGTGTGGGCCGCTCTTCTTTGTGTACACGACCACTTTAGCTCCTCTGGCAAAAGCCCCATTCTTGGTTCGTGGAATTACTCGCAGCCAAGAGTTAGAGAGGCCCTGAGGTGTGGGCAGAAGGACAAAGGGTCAGGCAGGCAGGCTCAAACTCATGCGATCCATGTGAATTAGAATCTACACACTCACCTGGTTAACTTTGTAAATGGAGAGCGGTTGAGCTGCACTTTCTCCGTGAGAGATTACTAGTTCAAGATGGCCGTCGCCATCAAAATCCGCAGCTACAGCTCCTGGAGAGCCATAAACAAAAATGAAGCAGCTGAGGAAACAGATTTCATAATGTTTACTGGAGCCAGGACATGTGGATTTAAGTTAACAGCAGGGCACTGAAGCACAGAGGAAAACTTAGCTAACAAGTGGAGCTGTAGCGCCATCTGGTGGCCTGGTCTGGTTATAGCAGAGCCTAGAGCTGTTGTCCTGAGCTACATAATAACACGTGTGAGCCTACTAAAGAGATCAGCGAGTAGTCATTATTATTTATTTCTATTTATTAAAACAAGCTTCACCAGTTCCTCGTCCTTCCAGCTCAGCTGCCTCCCCAATATTCAGCTCCTCTATCTGGGGGTCTCCATGCTCCCTCCTGCTCACCCTAGGAAAGCAAACAGAGCACAAAAGGACCCAAAAGTATAAAGGCCAAATCCTTTTTCTTATATATTTTACTACATGTGTACGTAAAAGAATGTAGATTGTAAAGATCGCCATGTTTAACCTACTCTTAATAATAATAATGCATTTTAATTAAAAGCATCTTTCAAGGAACACAAGGACACTTTACAGCAATAAAACCAACAACAAACAAAACCAAGTAAAAAAAAGCAAAAATATAAATAAAACACATGCAGAAGCTTAAAAAACACAAACTAGATAATAAAACAAAAATCATTTATATGTTTTCTACTTGCTGCAGTTCTTGGATTTTCGTTATGGTTTATGTGTTCTGTTTTAATGTTTATTTCTCTGCTTTTCATATATTACTTAAATAAAAAAAACAAGTTTCTAATAATTTTACAAATCATTTATTTAATTTACATTATAAATAGGCTAAGGTGTTCATTTAAACATCTTAATCATCACATGACTAATAAAGGCCCAAGCTAAGCTACGTATTGATGCGTTCTATTGAATTAATTAGCTTATTTTTGTCTCTCGGTGCCACATACTAGAATAAATTGGCACATTCATCTCCATAACAGACAATAGCTGAGCCACGGGCTGTGAAGCTGTGACCCTCGTCAGACCAGAGACTTGCTGTGCAGGGATATTCAGATCCAGGGAATTCTCCGGCACGTGCACTGATCACTGATGCTCAGCGAGAACTGAACTTTGAATCCTGTTTAGACAAAGTTACCAAATCAGATTTTATTATTTTATTTTTTCTTTTCTTTTTAATTCACCCAGGAAGGGTTCATTTTACTATCAGTAAACTGATTATATGATCTGCACATTTTGAGCACTGAGTTAATTAAGATTATCTGGAAAGGAAACCAAACTTGAGCAAAAAAAAAAAAAACTGTTTTAATGAAAGATGTACTCATGCGTGGAGGAGGTGAAGGAGGCGGGACGCCAGACTAGATAAGTATTCTTTTGCTGGATGTTTTAAATTATTGTCAGCTTCCAAGCTCAGGATAAGAATATTAAACACAAGAGTTATTTAACCTCATCATTAACTATATTATATTATATTTACACTTACTGTCAGGACTAAAGTGCATTTGTTGTATGTAAATGGTAAAATTGCCTGTATTTGTATAGCTCCTTCTTAGGGTTCAACAACCCCCCAAGGTGTTTTACAACACAATCAATCATTCACCCATTCACACACAGGTGGTGATGAGCTACAATGATGCCACAGCTGCCCTAACAGAGGCATGGCCTCCAACCACCACCAGCAGGCAAGGCACGTTAAGCGTCTTGCCCAAAGACACAACAGATGCATTCTCTGGTCGGAGCTGGGATCGAACCTGCAACCTTCTGATTACTGGACAACCCGCTCAACCTCCTGAGCTACTGCTGTCCCTAAGTAGGCTCATGATGTGTCAGTACCTAAAAAGCCTGTTGGCTGATGGTCCTCGGTAGGCGATGTTGTTGAAGAAGACCTCTAGCTCATTGTCGTTATCAAAGTCCGCAGTGATAACGGTTCGAACTGGAGATGGCATGGAGAACTTCTGGGAGGCTATGTCCTGATGATAGAAGCAAACACACTCATTTGTGCTCACAACATTTATTTTATTCAGCTTTTACTTGTTTTTGTGTTTTTTAATTTAGGTCCCATCAACACGATTCCAGAGAGATTGGACAAGTGAGTTTCTGCTGCGTTTGCACAGTGGCGACCACAAAATCTTTCATGGGGGGGGGGGGGGGCACTGTGCAAATGGTAACTCCAGAAAATGATCTGGGGGCAAGTGAAAGTTATGAGGTTGCACCAGATATGTCCCTGCAGTAACTCTGGGAGCATTTAGCACGTAGCAGTGAAGTGCATTGATCGTTAATTATTTCTCATTAAAATAGACATAGACCTATGTATAAAACACATTTACCTCGAATTTCACAAACAAGGATTTCTGAAAAACAACGTTTCAAACCCTTATTTCAGTTATTGTTTCAAATGTTATTATATCCGAATATCAAAAGTTTCATTTTCCTGATGCTGTGTCAACTAAAATATGTACAAAATCTTTTGGGATAACTGTGATTTTCAGTGGCATACATGTCTATTTAAATTGAGATATATGAAATTAGTTATGAATTATTTTTTTAAATAGATGCATTTCTTGGTTTAAAACGCATGTCTTGAGTAAAGAAGATGGATGTGATTTATTAGTCGGGGTGCGAGGCTGCACGTCCCTGGACGGTAAGTGCGGTGGCCAACAATTTTTCAGGGGTCGCCATGGAAACCCCTAGGCCAACCCTTGGGGGCACACCTGCACGTGCACCTCCTGTCCACACTAGCACCAAAAAAGTTTCTGCAGCAGCTGAGAAAGTAACAGATATGTCCCCGCTTGAGTGAAACTGTGATAAGTCCAGAAAGAGTTATAGAGCAGCCCTTCACTCCCCCAGTATTTACCCCCCTGTTTTAATTATAAGGCTCATAAAGCTGCAGAGGTAAGGGCCGCCCACAATGACCTTCTCCCTCGCAGGTGAAGGAGAGGGAACGGCCATTCGAGGCCTCGAGAGAAGAGGACAGGAGCAGTTTTACATATTAACTATTAAGTTTATGCGTCATAAAAACAGAAAAGGGGCTCCCAACATAATGAATGCAGAATCGCAAGATTTCCCTTTGTTTTCAAATTTGATGCATGCAAAACATCTTATAATGGAACAGTTTTAGTTCATTCATGAAAATGAAAGAAAATGCTTAAAAATGTCTGTTTACACCTTAGAAAACTAAAATAAACTCATAAAACAGGTCGGCCTTTAAATTTGAATAGGTCATCCTTTCTTTTGTTGTAATATGTTTTATGATAATATAAGAAATTAAAAAAACCTACAAAATTTGTCTAAGTGACTTTTTAATAACCAGCGCTCACGTTCACTTCAATTTTTAGTCTCCATTAACAAAAAACAACTGTAACAGCTTCTGCCTGTGACTTCTTACATAAATATAAATCAATATTCATTGTGTGTATATGTTTGTGTGTGTATGTGTGCATGCGCGCGAGTGTGTTAAACCTCCTGCAAGGCAAACTTATTCAATAGATCTTAATTAAAGCATAAACAGGCCTAATCTGCACTTTCCACTACCAAGGCAAGCTGCTGGCTCAGCCTAATTTAATTGGTGGTTTACTGAACTGATACAGCTTCATTATGCATGCCAAAGGCTAACACTGGATTACTACTGGAGGTGTCAGCCTGTGTGGGTGAAAGGGGTCTTAAATATGTTGTAGTATTCTGATTTCACAAAATGGTTGTAAAAAAAAAAAAGAAAAAACACACACTAAATAAATTAAAAGGGTCCTGCTAGTTTGCTTTGTCTTTGGTGAGTGTGTGTAGGAGCAGATGGATGTGAGTGTCACACATTAACCCTTTATTTGACCCCTATAAAGATGATTCCTGTGACATTTGTCTTTTTGATAAAGGATGCAGAGGCAGGCAGTGACAGGTAGATCACACACACACACACACACACACACACACACACACACACACACACGCACACCATCTCTCTTGCTCAGTTGAATAAGGAGATCGCAACCGTCTCACAGGAGTAATCTGTGGAGTCATTAAGCACGTAAATAACTACCAACGTGTCTTTAAATCCCACTAACATCCAAAGTGGGCAGTGCGAGTGGTGCTAATTCATTAGCCAATTGTCGAGAGTGACAAGACGGTGATTTGGCAAGAAAGAGGAAGGGATTGCTCAGTCTGTGCAGCTTTTTCTCAAAATTGTGGCAAAAGTGAAGAAAGCACATGTTTGCCAATGGTCAAAAATGTCATTGTCAAATGCCAACTTGACAAAATATTTTAATTAGCCCACCATAAACAACCCTTGCTAGCTTTGCTTTCAAAGCAATGGCTCATGGGAGTATTGACCTGCTACAAAGCATGTATGCTAGGTTGACTAGTTTCTAAATTGTCACTGAGTGACTGCTAAAAGGGTTTTTGTTTCTGTGAGCCCCTGTGATGGTGATTTCAGTTTTTCTACTGCAGTTAAGAAATAACTAGCTTGGCCCGCACCAGTGAGGTGCTGAGATTTACGTGCTTTTAAATGAGCTCACGAGTGTGAGTGTGTATAGGAAACAACCTAAGTGATTTCTTGATTTAAATCATTTGGAAGCAACAACGACACTGTTGGTAGAGAAAGCAGGAATGTGACCCATAATTCACCATTTTTACTTTGTTAAAACACCCAGACGATCAAAGAGTGGGTGGGCGTGGCCAGAAACAGCTTGTTTGATTTGAAACGACAGAACCCTGAAACGACTCACTCTGGAAGGTGATGAAAATGTTGAGAATAGAGCGGGTGAGATTGTTTTATGTGTGTGAATACAAAAAAATCATAATATGTCCCCTTTAAGAAAATGAGTAATAAGTGAGTAAACTTGAATGAAATGATTGACGGGCGGAGGAGCAGTTTGTGCCGCCTTGAGGTGGGCGTTTCCCAGTGGCTCCAAGATCACCTTAAACCTAAGAATTAAGTTTAGTTACAATATCTTTAAGCCAGCACAATGAAGCTGTTGCCCCAAAAACCCATAATCTAACATGCTAATGCTAACGCTAATGCTTCAGTCTTTAATGATCATCTGGTTGAAGCAATTTTTAAAACCAGAAAAAAAAAAACAACAATAAAGACGACCTTTTCTACTTCAGTTCTTTTTACTCAGTTGTTGGAACACACAAAGCATTTTCTAAACAATAAGTTCTGCTTTGAAATATTTTCAACGAACCATCACAACTGTAAGACAGATCGGTCCGTTTAAACCCTGATATGAGCTCAGTAAATAAGCCAAGTTCAAATAAAAAGTCAGTCAACTTGTAAACTAATCGGAGTCAAGTTGAGTCAACAATTCTTTTTTAGTGTGAATGGAACATTTTTCAGTAAATTTGGGGAAAGAGTTTTGTAAATGTCATTTCTGTTGGAATAAAAAGCCCTGCATCAAGACGATTAATCTTCATAAAGAGAGGAAATCCACTTTTTCCTTCATCTACAGCAGCAGTGTCCAGTCCTGGTTCCTGGGAGCCATTATTGAACATGTTTTAGTTGTTTTCCTGCTCAAAAAGAGAGGGCAGTTGTCCAATTCTTGTCCTTCATTCGAATGGTTGGGTATGGACTATGGGATTATTCTGAAGAAGAGGAAGAAAAATATTAGTGTATATATATATATATATATATATATATATATATTGATATAGATAGATATAGACAGACTGATAGACAAACAGACAGATAGATAGTGGATAAAAAGCCCTCCAATTATAACTTCTACAGTAAACGAAAAGCTACTTGACCAAGACTGTTGTGGAAGTGTTTGATAAACAGTTTGACTGGAAATATTCTAAATCATGCATACATCGGACATAACTCAAGAGAGCACAGCAGCACTGTAGGTTAACAGGGCAGTGTTCCCCCTACATAGGGCTAGCTGTGGTGTTGAACCACAGCTGAATGAAGAACATCGTGCCCACAAAATGCTGGGAATGAAACTTGTGGCCAAATTATGGATATGCATTGCATCACGTTTTTACCTCTCCAAAGATGATGAAATCTTCAGTCCTCTCCTTGAAGATGGTTGGCAAGAGGAGATGTCCCCCTTTGAAGTCAACTTCTAGGTCATACGGATACAAATGAACATAATTACATTTTGATAGATATTAATAATGTGCAAATTCCCACAAGCATGGTCGTGCATTAGACACTCTACACATTGGTACATCCATTCTCTTTGGAATAGATCACACATGAATTACATAATTGTTGCACTATTTGTATGTGTTCAAATTAGCACCTGTAAGTATGCGGTCAATCACCACTGTTGTCTGGATTTAGCTTTCTGTGTTGATCCAGGAGAACCTTGATATGAGCCTCAATGGAGGCTGCATCTTCCCCCACAAAGCACAATTCCTTTGTCAAAGAAGATATCAGTGTTACCAATCATGTGTAAAATCTGACAAGTTCAAGTAACTTGAAGTAATGTGCACACTGAATGCCTTAAAAATGCAGAATAGGAACTGCAAGCTGAGCTAGAAGATATCTAGCAAGAGAGCTATGTAGAGAGATATCTAGCGGCAGACATGGAGCACCTTGAAGAATAGCTTGCAGAAAAATTCTAAAAATATGAGCTCTTTATTCGCAGAAGCATAAACTAGGCTTTAGAGGCTGAGGGTGTGAGGACTTACGAGAGAGGGCTTCAGTCTCTTCGGACATGGGCTGGTGGAGTCACCTGTGGTCTTAGGTTGCCGTCGTCGTCGTCGTCGTCGTCGTCGTCTTCCTCCGCTTATCCGGGTCCGGGTCGCGGGGGCAGCATCCCAACTAGGGAGCTCCAGGCCGTCCTCTCCCCGGCCTTGTCCACCAGCTCCTCCGGCAGGACCCCAAGGCGTTCCCGGACCAGATTGGAGATGTAACTTCTCCAACGTGTCCTGGGTCGACCCGGGGGCCTTCTGCCGGCAGGACATGCCCGAAACACCTCCCCGGGGAGGCGTCCAGGAGGCATCCTGACCAGATGCCCAAACCACCTCAACTGGC